CTTCCTTTGTACATGCTTCGAGAAGACTCTTCAAGTGTGGCTCAGGTATGTCTAATTTGGGTGTGCTCTCGTCTCTGTATACTCTGTCCAGTATCATTCCTATGGTTGTGTCGACTGGGAAGTTGGTAAATAGGGATTCAACGTCCAGGGAAGCAATGATTCCATCGGGCTGAGTAGATTTGATCAATTCTAGGAAATCTGCTGATGATTGTAGACTATAGTTGCTAGCAACTATAGTCTACAGTCATCAGCAGATGATTGCTGATGGAGACATGAATCCAATCAGCAGATGATTGCTGAAGGAGACATGTATCTACAAATAGACGGAGTAGCAATGGGCTCCCCCTTAGGAGTTTTATTTGCTAATTTTTATATGGGAACCATCGAAGACAAAGTCTTCAGTAGAAGACAAAAACCAACCGTATATTGCCGTTATGTAGATGACATATTCGTCATAGTAAAAGACTCAGACGAACTAATTCATCTAAAAAAGCCATCAAGAGAGAGAGTCAGTACTCCGATTTACACATGAAAATAGTGAAAAAAGTCTGCAATTCTTGGATTCCTTACACATATGTGGTGTACAAGATTCTGAATGATTCCTTACACAGGTTCCTGAACGCTGTTCTGATGTTAGCCAGCCTCGCATATGCCGCAGCCGTTATTCTTTTTATGTGGGCTTCAGGAAACAGGTTTGGTGTGATACCAACTCCTAGATCTTTCTCTCTGTCTGTTTCATTAAGTACTTCATCTCCTATTCTGTATCCTGTGTCTGGCCTCCTGTTTCCACTGCCTAGTTTCATTGCTTTGCATTTACTCGGGTTGAACTTCAACAGCCATTTGTTGGACCATTCACTCGGTCTGTCTAGGTCATCTTATAGCCTCCTACTATCATCCTCTGTTTCAATCCTCCTCATAATTTTTGCATATCGGCAAACATTGAGAAACGATTCTATACCCTCTGGGAGATCATTTACATATATCAGAAACAGTATAGGTCCAAGGACTGACCCCTGCGGGACTTCACTCGTAACGTTTCGCCAATCTGAGACCTCACCCCTCACACTGACTCGTTGTCTCCTGTTGCTTAGGTACTCCTGTATCCAACGGAGTACCTTCCCTTTCATTCCAGCCTGAATCTCCAGCTTTTTCACTAGCCTCTTGTGTGGCACTGAATCAAAGGCTTTCTGACAATCCAAAAATATGCAGTCTGCCCACCCTTCTCTTTGTTGCCTGGTCGTAGAATTCAAGTAACCCTGTGAGGCAGGACCTGCCATCCCTGAATCCATGTTGATGCTGTGTTACAAAGTTCTTTCGCTCCAGGTGCTCCACTAGCTTTCTTCGCACAATCTTCTACATCAGCTTGCATGGTATGCAGGTTAGGGACACTGGCCTGTAATTCAGTGCCTCCTGTCTATCCCCTTTCTTGTATATCGGGACTACATTAGCTGCTTTCCAAATTTCTGGCAGTTCCCCTGTTGCCAGAGATTTGTTATACACTATAGAGAGTGGGAGGCTCAGTTCTTTTGCTCCTTCCTTTACTATCCAAGGAGAGATTCCATCTGGGCCTATAGCCTTTGTCACATCCAACTCTAGTAAACACTTCTTTACTTCCCCGCTGGTAATCTCAAACTCTTCCAGTGGTTCCTGGTTAGTTATTCCCTCTCTTATCTCTGGGATTTCTCCTTGCTCTAAGGTGAAGATCTCTTGGAATTTCTTATTCAGTTCCTCACACACTTCCTTGTCGTTTGTAGTGAATCCTTCTGCCCCTATCCTTAATTTCATAACCTGTTCCTTTACTGTTGTTTTTCTCCTGATGTGGCTATGCAGCAATTTAGGCTGAGTCTTTGCCTTGCTTGTGATGTTATTTTCGTATTGTCTTTCTGCCTCTCTTCTCATCCTGACATATTCATTCCTGGCATTCTGGTATCTTTCTCTGCTCTCAAGTGTGTGTGTTGTCGGAAAATCCGACACCATTTAATAATCATACAGATAATAGCTGTATTACCAACAAGTTACCCATAGAAAACGTAACTTGTAGTGGAATTACCGTCGATAGAAAACGGGATATCATCACCACATACTATTATAAATCACCACCTATTATGGTGGGAATTATTCTTAAATACATTAGTCTTTGGACTTTACCATCATAAAAACATCTTATATAAATTAACTTAATTATCAATATTAAAGTAGAGTAAATGTGACCCTTCTATCACTTTCTGAAATCTGGACAATGTAAGCCAGGCGTCAGTGAGGAGGAAGGGGCAGCCATTGTTTATACTAGACCAGAGGCTCACACGGGAGCAAATTCGGCTCCTGTTAATTTTACTTGGACGTAGTGTTATGGAAACGAAGGGTGTACCATTTTCAACACGCTGTCAACAAATCAAGTTAAGTGTTCTTTCCGAAACCCGTTTATTTTCATTTATGGCCATTAATGTCATTATATAGGGTGGTCCGGTTAGAGCACGTGGAAGCCTCAAACTAAAGGTAATTAAGCCAGGTCTTTAAGGTTCCATGTATAGTGTTTTCTCTGATATAGCTTGTCATATATAGAATCTGGCTTCACAGCTAGCGCCCTTTTAACAGGTCAAGACGAGGAAGCAAGATTTAGTGCACCAGTTACTGGGCGATGGAAGCTACCTCAAAGAGGATAATTTGGGGTCTACACCCTAGTTATACCTGGTGGACTAACCTGTTGTACTATAAGATAAGGAACCTTTTCAATGTATGTAGTTAATACTGTAGTTTGATTGGCTGCATATATATTAATTTAAAAAACCCCCCTAATGTGTAGAGGATCGATTTGTGAGATTGAGATTATTGCAGAAATACAGTCCACTTATCATTATACAAATTGCTATCGAAGTATATAAATTAACGTAAATATAAATTCATATAAATTAAATAAATATAAATCTCACAGGTCGGTTCCCACATGTGTGTGTGTGTGTGTGTGTGTGTGTGTGTGTGTGTGTGTGTATTAAGGCTCTCCCTAAAAGTTTTTAGTTTGTGTTAACATTAGCATCTCGTTCAGTGTGCCGAGAGTTGAGAATAGTTCAAAAACTTTGGAATATTGCACACTTTAATTTGCTGTTCAGGAAAACTATTTTTCTTTCGTAAGTAATTATATCTAACTCTGAGTCATGAAGACTGTCAACATTGGTTTTCCCGAAGTTGTAATGCAACCAGAATGTAAATATTTAGATAACCATTAAAGATGAATGAGATCAAAAGCATTCTGGGAAAATATAATGTGATTTTTAACTACAGTAAAATTTCGTTTACTTAATTCCACTAAATTTCTTCGCTTAAAGCGTGAACTGCTTTCTCTGCATTTAAATTTCCTGCTGTTGCCTCTACTTTCCTCTCCATAACCCCGAGACGACAAACTCCAGCCCACTAGAGCAGGACAACACTCACTATCCTCATTGTGCGAGGCACTTCAGGACCTCATTAATGACGACTACGGCTGCCCAACACTCACTATCCTCACTGTGTGAGGCAGTCGAGGACCTCATTAATGACGACTACGGCTGCCCAACACTCACTATCCTCACTGTGCGAGGTGCTGCAGGACCTCATTAATGACGACTACGGCTGCCCAACACTCACTATCCTCACTGTGCGAGGCGCTCCAGGACCTCATTAATGACGACTACGGGTGCCCAACACTCACTATCCTCACTGTGCGATGTGCTCCAGGACCTCATTAATGACGACTACGGCTGCCCAACACTCACTATCCTCACTGTGCGATGTGCTCCAGGACCTCATTAATGACGACTACGGCTGCCCAATACTCACTATCCTCACTGTGCGAGGCAGTCGAGGACCTCATTAATGGTCAGATTCCACAAGACAAAAGTATTCTTGTGGCAGTTTTTCCTTCCATGTCGCGTGATAACGCTTTGGTTCACTGATAATCTGGCGTAAAATTCCCGGGAGAGCGCTGGGAACAGGCAGCCTAATAAGCCAAGCGTTCGGGGCGCGATTATTGAAGTGTCAGACAATGGGTATCCAGGCTACTGCCGGGAGAGAATATGAGTCTCTTGTTATATATGACTTTTAAATAACATGATGGTGTTGACTTTGACCTATGACAAGAATAACAGAAATAAAGACGAATATAGATTAGCCGCATATATTTGTAATAACAATCATATTAATAATAATAATCATATTAATAATAATAATAATAACAATAATAATAATAGTAACGTTTTGGGCGTTACTTTGGAGAATTAGAAAGTGGCCGTGTGAACATTACATATTGTTCATCACGACGCGAAGCACCTGATATTTAGACGCCCTGAACAAGGTTTCCTTTTTATATTATACGGGTTGGTGTGGGCCATATGGATTGGTCCCGGCCACGTAGGTGGGTCCGGGCCACATGGGATGGACCGGGCCACATGGGATGGACCGGGCCACATGGGATGGACCGGGCCACATGGGATGGACCGGGCCACATGGGATGGACCGGGCCACATGGGATGGACCGGGCCACATGGCTGAACTGATGTGAGGAATGACTAGCCAATAACAAGCGCAGCAGAAAGTTAATGGCCTAGTTGAGTGATGGGTTATAATTACCCCGTTGCATTCGAGAATGGCCTCTGGGTCGGCTATTCATTAATCCTAATATCCAGACTAAGCTTCACCATTAACGAGTCCCCCCCCCCACTGTCACCTATATAACCCCGTCCACGACACCCACAAACACGCTGCAGGCCTCCAAAACCCGATAGTGAACCAGGAGCCTACTCTCTGACATACCCGGGGCTCTCTTTCTGTTCTCAGATAACCCGCTTTACTCACTCTTTTCGCCTCACTTCCCTTTCAATCCGCTTCCCTTGCAGCGTTCCCTCCCCTGGGGCTACCCCGGCCCTTCCACCCGCCAGCACGGCCTCCCATCCCATGGCGTCCCCCTGCCACCCCATGCCTTCCCTCCCACCCTTCCCGTATGCCAGTCTGTATTTGGACGCCGAGGAGAGAGCACGCTCCGCAGCACTGCTGATCCCAGCGCCCCACGCCCAGATGTGATTACTTTAAAACATTTGGAAAGTAATTTTATTAAATTGATGTGGCCTCATGGTTGAAAAGTTGTATATGCATTTACTAACATGTTTGAACATGGAGATACATTATACTTATGACGAATAAATCTTAAGTACAGTTAGTTCGTCTACAGCATTGTCGAGATCGTTAAGTCTTGAGTGCCCTGTTGACGAGGATCAGCTTGGCGTCGTCTGTTACAAGTGTAAAGTGAACGCTCGTGTTATACACCTTCACAAGTGCAGGTAAATGGAACTGGGACAATGGAATTGTGAATATCAACAGCCTTATCGTTGATGCCTGTTGAGGCAAAGAGTACTTTTATTGCAACATAGAGGACTAATTGGGTATTCAAAGTATGGATTGCACTGTCTGCAGAAGATAAAATCGGATGAATGATGTGAAACAGTGAGCTAGACACTGGGAAGCATGTGGCCTAGAGAAACGGTGACAGTGGCGCTGTGTCTGGGCGCTGTGCTCAGCACTCTGCTGGTGACGACAGCTTCAGAGCCCCACAGGAAGACTCCAATTATCACCACCAAGTACGGCCAGCTCCGCGGCTTCTACCGGCCGGTGACCGGCTACGGGATACAGGTGGCCACTTACCTGGGTGTGCCATACGCCACGCCCCCAGTGGGCGCCAACCGGTTCAGCCCCACTCGAACATTATCCCAGTGGGTGGGTGTGCATGAGGCTACCCACTTCGGCCCTGCCTGTCCCCAGCGGCTGCCCGACATCTCCAACGAAACGGCGGCGTTGTCGAGGATGTCCCGAGGCCGTCTCCAAGCACTCAAACGCTACCTGCCCGCACTCAGACGCCAGAGTGAAGACTGCCTCTACCTTAATCTCTACGTCCCGGTCGAAGGTAGGTACCTCAGCATCGATATCTTAAGGAAGGTAAGGTGTTATACTTGTTTGTCTTCTGTTATATACCTAGGTAAGCCCCTAGTAAGTTGGTAGTGTAATATAGTGGACATTAAATTTTCCTTGAGTGCTCGTAACCTAGTATAGCGACGCGTCGGAGGTGGGAGGGGGAGCAGCCATACAACCTCAAACACCCCCCCTCCCCCCCCTCTCTCTCTCTCTCTCTCTCTCTCTCTCTCTCTCTCTCTCTCTCTCTCTCTCTCTCTCTCTCTCTCTCTCTCTCTCTCTCTCTCTCTCTCTCTCTCTCTCTCTCTCTCTCTCTCTCTCTCTCTCTCTCTCTCTCTCTCTCTCTCTCTCTCTCTCTCTCTCTCTCTCTCTCTCTCTCTCTCTCTCTCTCTCTCTCTCTCTCTCTCTCTCTCTCTCTCTCTCTCATTTTCTTACGTTTTTAAGTATTTTCACATCACATATTAATTTCTTCGTGATTTACACATATATACAATTATATTTAGATACAAAAAATCACGAATCGTGATTTTAAGAAATATATATCGATATAAATAATTTTAAGAAATATATATCGAGAAAATGTCTAAGCACTTTGATCAACGTATAATACCAGAGACGCTGTGAAATATTACGCAAATATATATGCAAGTACATATATTTAATATATATTATAATATCTGTATATATAATGTAATATATACAAATTCATAGTTATAAGATAATATTTTGTCTACGCCTCATTTCCCTCACGAGGCCGCGGGGCTCACAACCTCACACGGAGTGAGGTGGTGAGGCTCTTTATATATAATATATATTATAGATACTAATACTGATAATTCATTTATAAAGTTAAATTTATACTTTACATTAATTCACAAATTAAATTTCAATTTCATAATCAAGTAATATTTACAACTTTTAAACCTTAGAACAAAAAGCTTACAAATATAAGTACAAAATTCAAAGATGAAAAACATTGTGTGTATATATATATATATATATATATATATATATATATATATATATATATATATATATATATATATATATATATATATATATATATATATATATATATATATATATATATATGAAAGAGTAGCACCTCTGGCTGGAAGAAGGGGGACCCTTAGCCTCGAAGGAAACCACACATAACGCATTAGAGGGAATGTTTAGGTCTCCAACAAACTTTTTGTGTGTTTTTCTCCTACGTCCCCCTTCCTTTTGTTTTTAGTTTTTTTGCTTTATTGTGTATTTAAAGGTTACAAGACATACATTGGTTGATACAAAAAGTGCCTAAAGGTTATGGATCTCTTGAAGCTCCTCCGCTTCCGGACAGGAACCGAGGATGCAGCAGACATTTCCCCTCTGGATCGCCTCACTGAGGCGTTGAAACAAAAAACTGGCAGCCCTTGGGTCTCTAGTGACGTCAATGAGCTTGGAGCCCAATTCCTTGAGAAATCCCAAGGCACTCTTGCCCCAGGGGCCATGCGTCTCAGACGCTATGGAAACAAAGAGGTATTGACCTTCCACGCGGAGGGCCACTGCTAAACGAAGAGATTCTGGATCTAGACGCGTGCCCATTGTCGATATGGGTACTGCCAGGAGGAAGTTTCCTGCATGGGGGGCACGCACTGCTCTGAGGCGGGCTTTCTCCTTGTCTGTTGTTGCGACGCTGAGCATGGCATCAGCTACTTTTTTCACTAGTGGGTGGTCCCAGCCGGACTGTTTGTGTTTATATATATATATATATAAATAGTATTAATAAATTCGGAACCGTAGGAAGTGTTTTAGACGGCGTTGTGTGAGGCGCCTGAACTACCTGCTCCTGGGAGCGTCCATACTGCCTCATATCGCTTGTCTATGTCTCACCCAACTTTCCAATGCTGATACACGGGGGTATGGGATTTCATAGGCAGTCGAGGGTATTTAAAATTGTCGCTGTTAAATAAATTTAAGCGTCTATGGTGACTCCAGTAATTTTCATGAAATATGAAATCGGGAATGTGTTTTCCGTATTTTGTGTTTTTTCAGTATTTCGTAATATTACATTTCTTAGAAAAATGGGATAAAAAAGGAGAGGAGGGGAGTGATTGGGAGAGAGGTTTGGGAGGGAAGGAGAGAGGGGGAATGTTTGGGAAGAAAGATGGAGAGGGGACGATAGAAGAGAGTGGAGAGGAGAGAGGGAGAGTGGTCCAGATACAGCAAGGTACCCCAATTTAGAATTTAAAAATGAAATAGCTCGAAGTGATGAATCAGGATAATCCTGAATGCCTTCTTTTTGGAGTCAGGTTGTTGTCGCAGCAGTTTAGTTGTGTTGAATAACATAACTATTGTACTACTGATATTCAGCAGCCATCCACAGTCGTCTCCTCGGTGAACTCGCTCCTTCAATTAGTTGAGCCTTCAATCTTTTTCTTGGGTTGATAAACCAGCCTGTCCTCATAAACCAGGCCGTCCTCATAAACAAGCACGTCCTCATAAACCAGGCCGTCCTCATAAACCAGCACGTCCTCATAAACCAGCACGTCCTCATAAACCAGCACGTCCTCATAAACCAGCACGTCCTCATAAACCAGCACGTCCTCATAAACCAGGGCGTCCTCATAAACCAGCACGTCCTCATAAACCAGTACGTCCTCATAAACCAGGCCGTCCTCATAAACCAGCACGTCCTCATAAACCAGGCCGTCCTCATAAACCAGCACGTCCTCATAAACCAGCACGTCCTCATAAACCAGGCCGTCCTCATAAACCAGGCCGTCCTCATAAACCAGGCCGTCCTCATAAACCAGGCCGTCCTCATAAACCAGCACGTCCTCATAAACCAGCACGTCCTCATAAACCAGCACGTCCTCATAAACCAGGCCGTCCTCATAAACCAGCACGTCCTCATAAACCAGCACGTCCTCATAAACCAGGCCGTCCTCATAAACCAGGCCGTCCTCATAAACCAGGCCGTCCTCATAAACCAGCACGTCCTCATAAACCAGGCCGTCCTCATAAACCAGCACGTCCTCATAAACCAGCACGTCCTCATAAACCAGCACGTCCTCATAAACCATACCGTCCTCATAAACCAGGCCGTCCTCATAAACTATACCGTCCTCATAAACCAGGCCGCCCTCATAAACCAGGCCGTCCTCATAAACCAGGCCGTCCTCATAAACCAGGCCGTCCTCATAAACCAGGCCGTCCTCATAAACCAGGCCGTCCTCATAAACCAGGCCGTCCTCATAAACCAGGCCGTCCTCATAAACTATACCGTCCTCATAAACCAGGCCGCCCTCATAAACCAGGCCGTCCTCATAAACCAGGCCGCCCTCATAAACCAGGCCATCCTCATAAACCAGGCCGTCCTCATAAACCAGGCCGTCCTCATAAACCAGGCCGTCCTCATAAACCAGGCCGTCCTCATAAACCAGGCCACCCTCATAAACCAGGCCGTCCTCATAAACCAGGCCGTCCTCATAAACCAGGCCGTCCTCATAAACCAGGCCGTCCTCATAAACCAGGCCGTCCTCATAAACCAGGCCGTCCTCATAAACCAGGCCACCCTCATAAACCAGGCCGTCCTCATAAATCAGTTCCCATGTAAAAACTAGCGAATAACACTCCTAAGGGAAAACCCATTGCTACTCCGTCTATTTGTAGATACATGTCCCCTTGCGGACTGATGAAAGGGGCTTCCGTTGTACATGCCTTGAGAAGTGTCTTCAAGTGTGGCTCAGGTATGTCTAATTTGGGGGTATTCTCGTCTCTGTATACTCTGTCCAGTATCATTTCTATGGTGTCGACCGGGGCGTTGGTAAAAAGGGATTCGACGTCCAGTGAAGTAATAGTTCCATCGGGCTATGTAGTTTTAATTATTTCTAGGAAATCTGCTGATGATTGTAGACTAGTTTCTTGGAGTGAATGGAGTTCGGAATTCGTTAAGTCATTTTGCCAGGTGATAGGTTGGAGATGGTATTTGGCTGATTATTGGGCGTAGTGGGTTACCTGGTTTGTGTGTCTTAACATTGACATAGGCATTTCCTAAGCCATAGTCGCCTTGGATTTTAGCGACTATGTAGCAACTTTATATGTGTGAGTGTGTGTGTGTAAAATATATATATATATATATATATATATATATATATATATATATATATATATATATATATATATATATATATATATATATATATATATATATATATATATATATATATATATATATATACCAGAAAAACGGCCAGCCTACTCATGAGAAACTCTCCAGACACAAAACAGAACGCTTTAAAAGAGACTAACGTCGTCTATGCCTTCAAATGCCCACTTGGGGACTGTAAGCTCCAAAAAACCCAGTATATAGGCAAGACAACAACATCTCTTTCTAGGCGTTTAACGATGCATAAGCAACAGGGCTCCATTAAGGAACATATAATCTCTTCCCATAACCAAACCATCGCCAGAGAAATCCTAGTAAACAACACAGAAATCATCGATAGATACAGCGATAGCAGGCGGCTTGACGTTTGCGAGGCACTACACATCAAGAAGTCAACACCAGCAATCAACAGCCAATTATTGCACAACTATATTCTACCCACCTCAAGACTCCGCTCCAATATAGAAGCATCAAGAAATATGGACCAATAGGCTTTCTACAAACACTTCTATTCAATACCCATTGTTTCTGTTCTGTCTTGTGTTGATACTTTTAATACCCTATTAATATCCCCTGTTCTGTCTTGTGTTAATGCCACATCATCCTTCCCACCTCACTCAAATGTAGATATAATATCAGAGAGACGTAAGTTCTAATCAGTTGTGTATTTGTGAAGTCTTTGAAAATGTAATAAGTTTTACGAAACGCGCCCGTGTCGCGTCAGACTAGAAATAAAAATGAATTTTGGAGAAGTGATTTTTGATTTACCTCCAACAGTGAAGCGTAATGTACGAAAGATTGAGAAAATTCGTGTTAGAGTTATTAATCTTACTTTTTCGGTCATA